TTGATGTTTTTTGATGGTTTCGAGCGAATTTGGTATGTAATTTCATCTTTTCTTTCTCTATTTTTTTGGTTTTTCGATTCACACACCTCGCCGTATCCGAGTACCAACCACTGTATCCGACCCGTATTTCGTACCCGGATCGGTGTCGGGTCGTATCGACGTCGTGTCCGAGTAACATAGCTTTCACTAACCTTGAATAGACACATGTTTGTTCGAACTGCTAAGGGAAATTTTCTGAATCCTCCACAACCCGTGACTTTTGTCTACTATTGTTCATTCGACCCAATATTAATTAATTATTACAACTTTAAAATTTGCGATCATGAGTTATAACCTATGATTTTAGAAATTTTTGTTTGCTTCGTTCTAAGGTCGAGTAATTATATATACTTTAAAATTCATAATTTTTATGAGCTATAATCCACGGTTTTGGCTATTTTTGTAAGCTTCTATCTAAGGGCAAGTAATTTTGCGCTCCACAAAATTCGCAAATTTCAAGGGCTAAAGTAATGATTTTTGTCAATTTTTACTTGTTTCGACCTAATGATAATTGATTATGTGTACTTCAAAATTCATGATTTTTATGGCGTATATACCAATGACCTTCTAAATTCCCGAATTCTGTGGACTACAACTCATGATTTTTGTCCTTTTTTGTCTGTTTCCACGTAATGCCATTTAAATTAGGCGTACACTTCAAGAATCACAATTTTCATGAGCTATAACTTATGATTTTCAAAATTCACGAATTTTATGGATTATAAGCCATCATATTTGTCTGTTTTGATGTAATGACATTTAATTAGGCGTACCCTTCAAAAGTCATAATTTTCATTGTTATAACCCATGATATTTGTTCATTTTCATTTGTTACTATGCAATGACAAGTAATTATGCATTATTCCAAATTCACTATTTTTATTTGCTTTAACCAATGTTCTTTAAGCTTTATTCATTTTGACCTAATGACAAATAAGTACATGCGCTTTAAAATTTACGAATTTTATGAGATCCATGATTTTGTCCATGTATATTCATTACGACGCCAATGACAATGATGTAAGAACATTTCAAATTCTTGATTTCATGGGCTATAACCCATGATATTTGCTTATTTTCATTCGTTTCGAATTAATAATCTGTACAAAAGAATTGTGATTTCATGGGTTTAATCCACAGATTTATTTTATGTCTGTTAGTTTCCACAAGTTGACAATTTTTATTTCATTTCTTTAATCCATGATTTTTGTCTATTTCCATTCGTTTCGATATGATAGCATTTAATTGTCCGAATTTAAACTTTCATAGGCTATAACCTATGACTTTTTCCAGTTTGTCTTTTTCGACCTTATGACATTTAATACGGCGCGCGCTTGAGAATTCAAGATTTTCATGGGTTATAACCATTGATTTTTGTGCATTTTAATTTTTTCAACTCAATGACAATTAATTATGTGTACATCAAAAAAATTCACAACTTTTATGTGCTATAATCCACAAATTTTCTTAATTTCTATTCATTTTGAGCCAATGACGAATCAGTATGCACACTTTAAAATTCACAATTTTTGTCGGGTTATGATATTTGATTTTTGTCGAGTTGTGTTTATTTCAACCCATGGCGAGGAACTCGACATATCTTAAAATTCGCAATTTTAAGTGCTATAATCCTGGATATTTTCTCATTTTCGTTCATTTCAACCAAATAGCAATTAATTATGCATACTATAAAATTCGTGATTTTCTTGCGTCATCACCCACAATTTTTTTGTTAGTTTTGACCAAATGACTATTAAATTTCTTTCATTAAAAAATCACGATTTTCATGGATTGGCCACAAATTTTGCCAATTTTCAGTCTTCTAGCCAATGGAAAATAAGTATAAGTACTTCAAAAATTCATAATTTTCATGAGTTATTATCCATGATTTTTATCCATTTTTGTTCTTTTCGGCCCAATAGCAATTAATTGTACGAATTTTAATATTAATTTTTTTCATGAGCACTCACGATTTTTGGCCATTATCACTCATTTGACCTAATGACATTCATTTATGACTACGTTAAAATTCATGGTTTCGTTGGATTATGACCCACAATTTTGACAATTTCTTTTTGTTTTACCCTATTGTTAATTAATTATATGTATTTTAAAATTCACAATTTATGAGGTATAACTAATAAAATTTGCCATTTATCGTTCATTTCAACCTAATGGAATTAAGTACATGTTATATTAAATTCACAATTTTCATGGGCTAACCCTCAAATTTTGTCTTCTTTTCAACGTTATAGCAATTAATTGTCCAAACATCGATGTTTATGGTTTTCATGGGCTATCAATACATGATTATTGTCCTTTATCATTCATTCGACCTAATGATAATTAATTATAACTACTTCAAATTCGCAGTTTTGATGCATTATAATCCATGGTATTTTCGTTAGTTTTGACTCGATGACAACTAATTATGCATTGTTCCAAATTCACGAATTTTATGGGCTATAATCCTTGATTTTTGTTAATCTTTGTTCGTTTTGACAAAATGAAAAATATGCATGTGCGTTTTATAATTTACAATTTTCATGGGTTACAACCTTTTTGTCTATTTAAATTTGTTCTGATCTAATGGCAATGAATTGATCATATTTCAAAATTCAAGATTTCATGGGTTATCATCCACGATATTTACTCATTTTCGTTCATTTTGACCGAATGGAAAATAATCATGCCTAATGGTGGAATAAACCAATACTTAATAAATTGTTTGATAATTGTTGGAGACATTGTTCAGTTACATCGATTTGGTAGTTCATTTAACTCTAAATATGTAATTTTTAGCACTCAAATTCATAAACGAATAGAATTTAACCAGATGTGTATTCAGTTTGTTCTCTTAGTAAATATTCATTTAAACTATGATCACTCATGATTTATATTATTAAGTTAAATATACTAATTTTGAAAGACTTAATAGAGTCCCCAAACATTTCAATAACGAAAGATTTGAATTAAATATATACACATAATTATAAAGAAATAATTTTCAATCGTAAATTTAAATATAATATGAAAATCAAATACTTTTGTAAGATGAATTTTTTAATAATAGATAAATATTCGTATATTTAACAAATATCGAGTATTCGAGTACGAATTCAAAATAGTGTTGAAATGGATATCCAAATTTGGATTTGAGGTGGAATTCAAAATTTTAAACAAATATAAATACGAACGACTTGGTATTCTATTCGATTCGATTCAATTTGTTTCCATTCCAAATCATGCATACAAAAAAATTCATGATTTCAATGGTTATAACCTACCAGTTTTATTTATTTTAGTTAATTTCGACTAAATAACAATTAAATTTTCTTTCATGCTATAACCCATGATTTTCTCCACTGTCGTTAACTGGACACAATTGCAATTAAGTATGACTACAAGATTCGCGATTTTGATAGGTTATATAACCCGCGATTTTGAATATTTCCGTTTGTTTCATGCTAACGGCAGATAAGTAAACGTTCTTCAAAATTTGAGTTTTTTATTAGTTTTAACCTTCGTTCCGTGATTCCTCGGAACCCCCTTGAACTGTCGTATAGTTCATGCGAATTGATTCCTAGTTCATTTGTGAACCAATTCCCTCCAATACACGAACCGATTCCCCAAAATTAGCGTAATACTTACAAATATGCTAGATGCAATGTCTCTTTAAGTGTGCATGCGCAAGACGCAATGTAATGTGTGCAATTAAGTGAAGGGAGACACATGATAGAGTATATGAGCAAATGACTTCACTGTAACTAAACATGTATGTTAACTTTGTAAAATGAAACCATGATCCTAAAATTAATTGTGCGAACTTAAATATTCATGATTTTCATTCTAACTTATGATTTTTGTTCATTATTGTTCATTCGGCTCAAATATAATCAATTATGACTACTTCAAAATTTGCAATTTGATGGGTTATAACACATGATTTTGATAATTTTTGTTTGTCTTGTTCTAATGGCAATAATTATACATACTTCATAATTTACAATTTCAGAACGATTTTTTGCAATTTCCGCGATCCAACGACAATTAATTATGCATATCTTGACATTTGTGATTTTCATGGGTTGTAGTCCATGATTTTTTTTATGTTTCAACCTTATAGCAATTACTTGTTCAAACTTCATGGGTAAGTTTAAATAGTCAAAAATCGCAGTTTCACCCATGGTTTTTGTCAAAATTTGCAACCTAATGATATATAAGTATGTGTAAGTTCAAATTCACAATTTTTGTGGGCTAAGCCACCATTTTTGTCAATTTTCATTCTTTTCGAACTTATAGCAATTAATTGTCCAAATTTCAATATTTTTATTTTTCATGGAGCATAATCTATGATTTTTGTCCATTGTTCATTCAAACCAATGGTAATTTCATGGATTATAACGCATGATATTAGTCAATTTTTGCAACCTAATGGAAAATAAGTTTGTGCAAGTATGAATTCACAATTTTCGTGGGGGTAACCCACGTTTTTTGTCAATTTTCATTCGTTTTGACCTTATCGCAGTTAATTGTTCAAATTTCAATATTCAGATTTTCTTGTGCGACCCATGATTTTTGTTCATTATCCTTTATTTGACTCAATGACAATTAATTATAACTACTTCAAGATTCACGATCTTGATGAGTTATAACCCACGGCTTTGGAAATTTTCGTTCATTTCGTCCTAATAAACATACGTCAAAATTCGCGATTTTCATGAGCTTATAACCCATGATTCTAGTAATTTTCGTTCATTTCGTCTCAAGGGCAAGTTATTATACATGGTTTGAAATTCACAATTTCGATCAACTATCATCTATGGCTCTTATCTAGTTTTGATCGTTTGGATCCAACAACAGTTAATTATGCGTCCTTCAAATTTTATGATTGTCATGGACCCATCATATTGCTTGTGTTTTATTGTTTTATCTTATGAAGAATTCATTTCTGTTCTCAGCATGAAGCAGTGTCAGAGTGTTGTGTTTTGGGCTTACCTGACAAGGCCTATGGAGAGATTGTGTGTGCTATAATTGTTCCTCATGAAGATGCGAAGAGAAGAGCAGAACGAGAGTTAAGGCCAGCTGTTAGTCTTGAAGAATTGCAGAACTGGTCTAAAGAGAAACTAGCTCCATACAAGGTTTAATCCTTCAGAACAATTTTTTCTAATCATGCAAAAAATAAATAAATAAATAAAATAGAATAAAATAAAAATAAAAATAAAAATTACTTTGCTTTTGATGTGTAAATGTACAAACTTTCAGATTCCGACAAAATTGTTCCTATGGGACACGCTTCCTCGAAATGCGATGGGAAAGGTGAGATTTCAGACCTTTTTATATTAATATTATCCTTTATGTTTATTAACTACGTATGTTTTCATACCAGGTGAACAAGAAAGAGTTGAAGAGATTATTGGAGGAAAGAACAACTTAGAGCTAAAGCAGTAGCCCTGTGTTTAAGATGAATGTATTGGTTAGCAAATATTGGAGGAGAATCCAGTCTCCACAAGCAATAAAAAGCCATATTGATTCATTTGGGTTCATAAACTTAGGCAAATAATGTTGTCATAGGTGTAAAGTTTTTGTATTATTGCATCGAAATTACCAAACTGTCGGTATTTTGTTCTCCATTTATCAGCTAATGTATGTCAGTGAGCCTTTTTTTTAGCACCGATCAGTTAGCGGCTGTATACTTAAACAGATACGTGGGAGTGAAAACAAATGAAATATTTGGCATCCAATGATTTAACTGACTAGGTCTGTTTGTTCATGTAAAAGTGATGTAACATCACAATAATAATATTTAATCATGTGTGTACTATAATAGTGTTTAAATGTTGAAAGAAATTTAATTTAAGATCAATTATAGAAAATCCTTCTGATACTTGGAAGATTCACCGAAAATCTCCCCGAAAAATAAAAAATGTCAATTCTGGCTTTACTCTATTACCCCGCAAACGTAACAGGATTATATCTATATGATTATATTGAACGCATTAATGATTATTTGACTGTAAATTGATACTAAGGAGGTGAAATGAACCAGGAGTTTCGCTTTGATTCTACAAACCACAAGGATATTTTCTTTAATTTTTGTCATAAATTCTTAACTAAATAATAACAAATAAATGCGGAACACCGGGGTCTGCCAGGATAGTTGGATAGGTCTGCTCTCTATTCAACAATCCTAGCTTGCTGGCTTTCTTGAAATTGGGACGAATACGAGGCATATGCCCTAATTCATAGGGATTTTCTTGCAAGGGTTGAGTCCTCCTTATGCTGAAGGCTTGAACACAGGCTTTCCCTTAAGCGGCGTAGGAGTCCTCTAACCAAGTTTTCATGTTGACAAAAAAAAAAAAAAAAGACGAAGAATGGATAAACATATAATGAAAGCTCCATCCAATCACAATACATGAGAAACGCCAGTAGCACAAAAGATTATCCAATTTAAACACCCTTATTCAGAATCCAAATATACTTTTAACAAGTGAGGCAAAAATTTCACTATACTTAGGAGAGTAACATGTCTGAAAACATAACTTTTGGGGCACAATTTCAGCAACAGCATTACAGCTGAACATGGAAGGTAACGACAGATAGAATACCGTTAACAATGATTTCCTGTGCAGAGCTTTAAGGATCTCATCAGCACCTGAGATGGTGAAAGCTCCACCGATCCTCAAACACAACAATGATTTCCTTTAGAGAGCTTTAAGGATCTCATCAGCACCTGAGATGGTGAAAGCTCCATCCTCCTCAATGTTCGCAACCTTGACCTTCAGGTCATCAGCAAGGAGAGCAAACCTTTGGGAGCGAATCCCAAGGCCTTCCCCAGAGAGATCAAGCTCGAGGCCAAGAGCATGAGTGTAGGTTCCTGACCCATCAGCTAGGAATTTGACATGCTTGTTATCAGGGTAGGTTTTTGCCCATGCCTTCATGACAAAGGGATCATTAACTGCACAGAATTATTAATCAGTAAAGTTGAAACTTAGATTATAAACAAGTGTGATCCATCAGATAGCAAGTTTATGCAAGTTTTGTTGCATGTGACAGGCTAATAATTTAGTTCTCAAGTCATCTATCAACTGAGAAAGTCGAGGTTTTGCAAGGTGGAATGCTCAGAACCATCAGAAGGATTATCAGCACGATTAAGCATTGCATGTCCCCAAAAGTCAGATGTGTGATATATAGACAAAGTTAACTAGCAACCCCCGTGTCGCCCATTTTAAATGCGAAGAACCATGATTACCTACTGTCTAGACCCGTTTAGCCTGTTTCATATCTTACTCATCCAAGATTTATACACTATGCATCATGTTGTGCAATTTGATTATAGCAGATCAAGTTCTAAATTGTAATTAGAGTTGCAAGGGGAAAGTTTAACATGGGGAACGTCAAAATGGAGAAATATATTTCTCACTCTTTGCATCAAAATAAGTTTAACACGACACCTAGTAACAACACTTCCATTATATTGAGCCTAACCATGAATGATGAAGCAAAACCTGTGTTAGGATGGAATAATTTAAATAAAATCTTTGAGACCACAATGTGTGGGAAATCAACACGAAAATAAATTCATTTATGAAGGATGATGGCAATCGATGATACAAACTTGTTTGCATTCAAATTCTAGGTATAACTAACTACATACCAAGCATTTAAAGTAGCAATTTGTTTGCGTTCAAGCTTTAGGTACACCTAACTACATAACAAGTACTTAAAAGTAACCAATGCTCCAGCACTGCCCACCCCATCATCACCCACCCCAACACCAACACCAACACCAAACAAACAAACAAACAAACAAACAAACAAAAGCACATGCACACACACTTTTCACACTAAAAATTGCACCCCATTCTCTGTACCAGCCATTTAAAAAAAATCTATTCAACGTGTGGAGGGGTCAAGGATGAGATTTTTAGATGTGAAAAGCGAAAGTGCAGAAAGATTATGGGTGTCCATTCTGGATGTAAAAAAAGAGAGATTTAGGAATTACTTTAAAGAAGGGATGAAAAAAAAATGACAATACGTAATTTCCTTCTTTCTTTCTTTCTTTCTTCCTGTTTTCTAGACCTGTGAATGGGCTCAGAAAGCACAAGGCTTGGCTTAGGACAGACACGGTAAGAGCTCTCTCAAGCTTGTCCTTTAACCTAGATGGACAAAGCTGTGAAATATTTTAGCTTTCTTAATAGCTAGTCAAGTAAACTTCACAGTCTCGGCCTTAACTAAGATCAAAATCAACCTTGCATCAAGATTTCGGACAAGTTCACCAAGAGCCTACTCTCTCACATATTCAGTTATTAATTCTTTGGCGTGGGGTGGGGGCTGGGTGGGTTTTTTGTTTGTTGCTGGGGGAAGAAAGAAGGTTTGAGGCAACCTATCTACCTTTAGTATTATCACTGTAACATGATTTACATACATCCTCCATTGTTAAATTTAAATTAGACAAAATTTCTCTGTAGAGAAACAAGATAAAGAAGTTGTTGATTCCAATCAAAATCCATGTTGTCCTCTCCTCTCACCTAACTGCAAATATATATGGTTTAGCTGAGACCAGTTCGGCCTTGTCGGCAGCTCACACGTGATTGAAACGGGCGAGCTTGGGCAAAACTTCAGACTATCTCAAACAATTGAACAAGGAATGACAGAATCTCAAAGCTTTGCTCCTTTCGCCTGTTTAACCTTGGGAGTGCCTGCAACCCTCAACCCGCATAACAAAAAGATGACATGCCATTCAAGAAATGCTAAATGTACTACAAATCCGATACCGCTTACAAGACACAGGCATGTTATAAATTTCCTCGTGAATTGCAATCAGGACCCATATGTATTCAGTTTTAAATGAAGCTTGTGTCTTGTAGCACACGTAGTATGCCTTTAGATTCATACACATAATATATCTCAGCGTTATGCAAATATAAACGCAAATCCCACAGCAAAAAAGATTAAATCTTGCCGCAGAAATTTTCTAGTGGGACACATTACTTGATTCCCAGCGGGAGTATCTCACAGCAAAAGTGCAATAGTTAAAATAAATAAGAGATTTATGCATACCGCTAACAAGGAGGACCTCATCAACTCCCTTGGATTTAAGCTCCTCTGCTTTAGAGATGAAACCCGGCACGTGCTGCATACTGCAAAAAAATAAATAAATAAATAAAAAAATAAAAAAAACTAAAAAAGAAAATTTTCTTTCTTGAATTAATCCAAATTTAGAAAAGTCACCTCCTTTCCTCAAATTGCAGGTAGGGGTGAAGGCGCCGGGGACGCCGAAGAGAATGACCTTTTTGCCCTTGGCAAGGGAATGCATGGGGAGCTGCTGCAGCTGATCGTTCTCGTCGAACCAGGCCAGGGTTCCGTCGGGGATAGAGTCGCCGACTGCGATCGGTGCCATTCCTCTTGATTTCTTCGCCCTAACTTAAGAGGTTTTTTAATTCTCGGAGTGGGAGATTTGAGACTGAGATTCTTAGAGCAAAGTTTGGCGACATATTTATACAGGGTGGTGCACTCGTACCCAAAAACACGAGACTCTACAGGATACATGCGAGATATCCACTTCCTATCTCATGGTACACTGTGTTACCGAGAGCTGTCAGCTATTTTCTGCTCGCTGCTGTCGTCGAGCGATATTTCAGATGTTATCGAGAGAGATAGAGACTGAGTTAGAACGTGATACAAATTAGAGGTGATAGGCAACATGTAGGGCTAGTCACTAAAGAAGAAATCGGCGGAAACGAAGATTGGAGGTGATCGGAAAGTGCGTGCGAAGTCGGCACAAAACTGCAGCGCCGTGCCGACTTCGCGCGTGTTTTCCGGCGACCTCCGGTCTCCGTTTTCACCACCGTCTTCGCCGGTGTGTAGCCCTTTATATTGTCTATCACACGGTATCTTCCTTTCACTTGGGCTTATTTTCTATCTCTCGTTATATCGCTTCAAATATTATTAGTTCTAACTTGCCAAACTAGCTAGAACTAACATGGGACATGCTAGAACTAACATGGGGTGGGCTAGAACTAACATGAGACGGATTAGAACTAACATGGGACGGATTAGAATTAACATGAGGCAAATTAGAACTAACATGTGTGAATTAGAACTAACATGAGGCAAATTAGAACTAACATGGGGCGGACTAGAACTAGCATGGGGCGGGTTAGAACTAACATGAGACAAATTAGAACTAACATGGGGTAAATTAGAACTAACTTGAGAGCCCAAGAACCTAGAACTAAGATGAATTAGAACTAGAACTAGCTAGAACTAACATGTGGCGTACTAGAATTAACATGGGGCGTGTTAGAACTAACATGGGGGCAAATTAGAACTAACTTGAGAGCCCAAGAGCCTAGAACTAACTTGAGAAAAAGCTCCTCCCACCTCCGGCGGAGCCCACCGAGACACCCCAACGACCCCGACAACCTCCTCCCACCTCCGGTAAGCCCGGACAGCGGCGAAAAGGTCCGAACAGCGAAGAACAAACCCGAACGGCGAGAAATTGCACTGCAGAAAACTGCAGTTTTGTGCTGACTTCGTACGCACTTTCCGATCACCTCTAATCTCCGTTTCCGCCGATTTCTTCTTTGTTGACTAGCCCTACATGTTGCCTATCACCTTCAATTTGTATCACGCTCTAACTCAGTCTCTATCTCTCTCGGTAACGTCCGAAACACCGTTCGACGGCAGCACCGAGCAGAAAATAGCAGCGCCGTGCCGACTTCGCGCGTATTTTCCGGCCACCTCCGGTCTCCGTTTTCACCACCGTCTTCGCCGGTGTGTAGCCCTTTATATTATCTATCACACGATATCTTTCTTTCACTTGGGCTTATTTTCTATCTCTCGTTATATCTCTTCGAATATTATTAGTTCTAACTTACCCAACTAGCTAGAACTAACATGGGACGGGCTAGAACTAACATGGGGTGGGCTAGAACTAACATGAGACGGATTAGAACTAACATGAGGAAAGTTAGAATTAACATGGGGTAAGTTAGAACTAACATGGAGTGAATTAGAACTAACATGAGGCAAATTAGAACTAACATGGGGCGGGCTAGAACTAACATGGGGCGAATTAGAACTAACATGAGACAAATTAGAACTAACATGGGGTAAATTAGAACTAACTTGAGAGCCCAAGAGCCTAGAATTAAGATGAATTAGAGCTAGAACTAGCTAGAACTAACATGTGGCGTGCTAGAACTAACATGGGGCGTGTTAGAACTAACATGGGGCAAATTAGAACTAACTTGAGAGCCCAAGAGCCTAGAACTAACTTGAGAAAAAGCTCCTCCCACCTCCGGCGGAGCCCACCGAGACACCCCGATGACCCCGATAACCTCCTCCCACCTCCGGCAAGCCCGGACAGCGGCGAAAAGCTCCGAACAGCGAAGAACAAACCCGAACGACGAGAAATTGCACTGCAGAAAACTGCAGTTTTGTGCTGACTTCGTACGCACTTTCCGATCACCTCTAATCTCTGTTTTCGCCGATTTCTTCTTTATTGACTAGCCCTACATGTTGCCTATCACCTTTAATTTGTATCACGTTCTAACTCAGTCTCTATCTCTCTCGGTAACGTTCGAAACACCGCTCGACGGCAGCACCGAGCAGAAAATAACAGTGCCGTGCCGACTTCGCGCGCGTTTTCCGGCCACCTCCGGTCTCTGTTTTCACCATCGTCTTCGTCGGTGTGTAGCCCTTTATATTGTCTATCACACGGTATATTTCTTTCACTTGGGCTTATTTTCTATCTCTCGTTATATCGCTTCGAATATTGTTAGTTCTAACTTGCTCAACTAGCTAGAACTAACATAGGGAGATGAGAGAGCTGGGTTTGAGGGATTGAAGAGATGTGATAAGGTTATTTTGGGGATTTTAGCTTAGCTGACATGTAATAATTGCTAAAAAGGGGCTGTAGTACTAAGTGTCACACTTCAAGGGGCTGAATCATATGGGAGAAACTAAGAAGGGCTGCAGCACATGAAGTTTCTGTTTTTGAGGCCTAGACACATTTTTCTCCCTTATATTAAACAACTAAATTCATTATACGTACAGAGAGAGCTCAAAGCTCACAAGAAACATTTTAGAAGCACCAAATACCATTTAAACCAGACTTGAAGGCAATGCCGGTAGTTAGATGAGCAGCTTTTATGATTTCTTGAGATATGCTAGAGTCGTAGATATTGGATAGAATTTGCACAATTTCGACCCTTGCAAACTAAGTGAGCAAATCTACAAGAAAGATGTAATGAGCAATCCTTAATCAAATTTATATTGCTCACAGCATCTGGTTCAAGAATCATCTTCTGATGTTCCTCATTCCATTCCCTCAAAACGTCGCGGTTACAAAAGTATAATCACATCTCGAACTCGAAAAATGTGATAAAAATACTATACCATACTAACTCATGTTAAACATATAAAGCACCTCACGAGTTCTTAATGAAATTTTGGTTCATTCTGTAAAAAAAACATATAAAGCACCCCTAGATATAAAGAGAAACCAAACAAAGACTATGTACAACACGCAAAAAGATAGAAATATGTACGATAAAATTCAACATCACAACCTCACAAAAAGCTTGATCTCTGTAAACAGCAAGCATCTTCAACCCATCAATATTGGACTATATATCCAATTCATTTGATGTATCAGATACTTCTTTCTCATGATATAAATTCAGTTTCCATCGGCTTTTTGTTTGCATTCCATATTTTATGAAAGAAGGGAT